CGGCGGGTGCGGGGCAGGTAAGGGGCGCGGGCAGGGCGGGGGCCGGGGCGGGCTGGAGTCCCGGCGGGCCGGAGCCCCGGCGCTGCCCCCTCCCGCCCCCCGCCGGTGTCGTCCAGTCAGGCGGCGGCCGCGGTGTCGCCCCGCTCTGCCCCGGGGCCGGGCGAGGGGGAGCCGGGGACACCTCCCGCCCCGCCGCGGTGCGGGGACACCCGGGGACTGTCCCCGAGGGCGGTGCGGGACGGGGAGTGACGCCGGGAGGGTCCGGGGTGCTGCCCCCCGGTCCGGCGGCGGCGGCGGCGGCGAGCGGGGCGGCCGAGTCCAGCGGCGGGGAGAAGTTGGGAGAGGTTTTCCTGCCCCCCTCTGTAAGGGAGCCCCCTCTGATAACGGGGAGCCCGCCCGCCCCTTCCCCTCCCGAGGGGTCTGCCTGAAGGGGGGCTGCTGGTGCCGTGTCTCGCGTTGAGGGGTTATTTCTTAGGAAAACGGGGTTTCTGGTGTCTCCTGGGGCGCAGCTGCAGCCCGCTCCCCGCAGCACACTCGGGAAGTCTCCCAGCTTTCCCAAAACCAACTCGGGGTCCGGGGATTTCTAGGATTTCCACCACTGAGTAGGGGTGCTGTTGCTTGACTCTTCTCTCCCTCCATCAACAAATAGTAAGAGCAGATCAACCCTGGAATTAAGACCTGCTTTTGCATTTGCGGTTGTTTCTTTCCAAAGATACAACGAACGACACAAAGCGCTTCTTTTCCCCAAACTATAGTATTTTTTTTTTCAAACTTATTTTTACAAACTATAATATTTTACGACATATTCTATTCAGCTGCTCTGTAAAGCTTTGTGTGCGTTCAGGCTGTCAATCACTTTATGGGCAAACGTTTTCTATAGCTGATCTTTTGTGGTACTGAGTCGTGGACCACCTGGTAGTGTCATAGAGATGTCATTGAGGAAATCTGGCTTCCAGAGCTTCTTGCCATGCTGTTGATTAATGGGAATGTGATTGTATACATGCAAGTAAGAATGCCTTCACTGACCACAGCAAAACAAGGAATGGTTTCCACATCTGCAGGACTGTTGCCGTTCGGGCTTTTCCACAAAGTTCTGTGTGGTGCCAAATAGTAAAGTAGTTTAAAATGTCACATTTTTAAGAAATGCTATGCCTTCAAAATAGCAAGTAGGCTGGGAGTGCCATAGTGTGGAGAACAGATACTGAAACAGAAGGAAATGCCACACAGGTGATTGTGAAGGCGAAGGTTGTGCCAGGGAAACCTTTTGAGATGAAAGTTGAGAGCAGAAAGTTTATTAAGGATTCAAGAAAAGAGTTGTTAGCAGAAGCCACGTTAGATCTTTCCATTTAGTGTGCAGGCTCTTCAGAGATGAGATTTTATTTTTGTCATTTCAGTGTGTTCCACCACCTTGCAGAAGAGAGGGGTGGTGAGTGTCCCCGGGGCTGGCACAGCACCTGTAGCTGGGCATCTCACTGCCACACAGCCAAACCTCAGACACCGTACGGTGGGCACAGCCACGTTTGTGACCATATTCCACGATGAGCCTAAGGGTATTCTGGCTCTCGCAGACAGAAAACTAATGGAAGTGATGCTAAACCAGTGCCATGTGTGTGCTTCTGCCTGGCCCTGCTTTGCCAGTGAAGCCGTGTGATGCTCGTTGCAATAAAGCAGAGATACAGCTGTGCTTCTGACCCCACACCCTCCAGGAAAGGTAGGTCGTTTCAGCAGCTCCATTAGGGCATCCTTCTTACCTTGCCCTGCGTTTCGCTCTGCTTTAGAGCTCAGAGGGTGGGTAAATGTCTTTCATGACTCAGCGTGCTGTTTATCTGGTGGAACACATGGCTGATGACACTGCTGCTCTGTAATCCAGCTGTAGGTGCAGGTGTAGCGGGATGAACCGAGCCACTCTGTTTATTTCTTTTTTGGGAAACGAAGTTCACATCGGGTGGTTGCTTTCCTGGGAATAGATTCCCATCCAAAGGCACTGCTCCACTGTACAAACTCACTTAGGCTGAATTCTGCGGAGTTCAACTGTAGTTCATTAACACAGTTTTAAAGCACTTGTGAAATAGACATTGTAGCTGATTTCTCTGTTATTAATTCAAAAGTTGAACTGTAGAAAAGCTTGAACTTGTGCTTCAGTTGCAATTTTTATTATAAAACACAATAAAACAGACCCCCTGAATTATTATTTGGCCAATGCTGTTCAATATACAAGAGCCTTGCTCAAATTTACCCATAGTTAGTTTTAAAAATGTCTGATTGTCATTCCATATTCGTGTTTCCTAGGATTAAAAGACCTTAAAAAGGGGAGGGGGATTATTCATCTTAGTTTGGCAGGGATACCACATGTACTTATGGTTCATCAGCTCTGATTCAAATTGGAAGAAAATCTGTAATTTTTTTCTCATACCAAATACTGTCTAGATGATAAAATAGATAGCATCTTCAATATTGGCTTTGCAACCACAGAGGATTGCATTGTATATTTTACAGTGATAAATGAGCAATCGTTCGAGTACTGTAAGCTGTGTATAGTAAGCCAGTCTTTAAATATTTAAAGACTAAATAATAGCAGCTTCACTGTATGCAGTGCTTCTAATGAGCCCTAAACTTCTGTATTGCTGTGGGCTTGCTTTCTCTCCATGTACCCTCCCCACTCACTTCTCCTCCCTCACACCC